ACACGAAAGCGTAATTTATATTAATTTATTTACACAAATCACGTTATACAAAATTTATAATTTAAATGAGGTAATATTTACAAAATAAATTACTATTTATCTTCGCTAATTACAAACCTTATATATTTAAAGAGTTAAGTGGAAGTAATTTAAACACTCATCGAGAATTGGTTTACAAATTCGATTACAGTTAAGGCTATGTTAAGTACTTTTTAACTTTTCTGAACTTCTGTGAACCCTCTGAAATGTATTTTTTGCGCAAAAACAAAATCATTTTATAAAAAAAAAAACATCAAACGTACAAGTTTTGTGTGAAGACAGAAACACGAATCATAATAATTGACTCGATAAGAAAATCATAAAGATGTTGTGTGAATCGCTATTATTTATACCTACTAGCTGTTCCCCGGGACTTCGTCTGCGTGAAACTTATTACTATTAAAAAAAATGAAAATCTACGAATTTCATTTTATTTACGTGGAACATTAATTCTTTTTTTTAAAATAAAGGTATCTTAAGTTACTCCTTATTACATTAGCTATCTACCAGAGAAAGTTCCGTCAAAATCAGTTTAGCTATTCCTGAGATTAGCCTGAGATTAATTTAAAAAAATGTTTTTTTTTTTGTTTTAAGAATCGCATATATACTTTCATCTGCATTTAGTAAAAAGCTGTTATTTTTATATTACTCAAACAGACACTTCAATTTCATTTATTTGTATAGATAATAAAAACAGTTTAAACAGTGTAAAAATTATAAGAAAAGTCTTTTAATTTCATAAGTCAAGTTAGGAACACTTTGTGTTAAACTGAAGACGATTTTACTGGTAACAAGGCGTTTCATCTAAGTCTACAAGGGTTACAATTCGTCGTCAAATGGTTCGTTGGTCGCCCTTACCTGTATAGAGACTGATACAAAGCAATTTTATATACCTATCTGCATCTTATATAGGCTTAGATCAAATATAAATAAATTAAAACATGTGGTGAAATTAAAATTTGTGTACAACCGACTTCAGTATAAATAAAATGAGAACATCATGAATGTAGTCGAAGTCAATTAAATACGCATTATTAAGGATAACTCAAAAACTACTGGTCAGATCCTGATTAAACTTATATGGGACTACATCAGAAGCACCAACTCTCAAATAAAAAAAAGAATCATCAAAATTGGTTCACTAGAAAAAAGTTCTGAGGTAACACAAAATAAAATACAGTCAAATTGAGTCTCCTTTTTTTAAATCAGTTAAGAAAGCTGAGATCTTATATTGTAGTAGCGACATTTACACATCACGGGAGGATATTTTTCTCTTCAAAAACGGACGGGATTTTTTATTAACACTGTATGAAGTTGTAGTTTAATAAATTTTAATTTAATTTATATCGTTTAATATGGACACCTATTTTATACACCTTGTTTGAATTTAGTTGATAATCACTTCTACGCGGATCCACAGTATCAAGTAGGAGGATCAAGCTGTGGCGACTGGGGGTTCTTTTCCTTTGCCAGAGGACTCCCTGCTGTATCACCGCCATCACCACTGTTACCACTGTTAACTGCTACAGATGTTAATGGTACCTGCAAAATAAAATCAAACGATATTTAAACCCTTAACTTAATTAGTTTTTATTGAATGGTGTATTTCAGATCGGTTCTACTTTTCAAGAGTAATCAGTTGCATAAAGTACTAACATGTTGCCAATATGTAATAATTAATCGAGAGTTCAAATGTATTTTTGGAACGAAGTTCCTTATCGCACGGTACGAATTAGGCAGATGGGGGCTAGGCGAGAAAAAGAGTAAGATTTTTCCTTCACGACCCTTTCTATAGTGCGAGCGAGATGGAATAATATCCATTTCCTCGCACTTTTTCTTATCCTGTAATGAAAGAAATTATTATTTTATTATAAATGACGCTTCATTTTAATAGACGCTAGGAATTCATTTATTTGTATTTGTTAATCAATAATATAATACGTTTATCAATAATAACATACTACGAAAGGAACTTCGTTCCAACCGAGTGTTCCACGAAACTTACGCATGTGGTTTTGGATGCAGTGATAGAAACATGGAGACTATTATAATACATTCTAACCAGAGTAAATCAAAATAATATTTGATCCAGCTGCAGCAACTCTGATCAGCGCCCGATTTAGAAAAACAACAGCCCTAGGTTACCTATGAATATGCGTCCCCCACCGGCCAGTTCGGTCTGTGCCTGTCCAGTCGACGAATATACTTACTAGCCAGTTTTCCACCCCGTGGTTTCGCGCAAATTAAATCAAATATTCTTGATAGTAAGTGTCGACCATCGGCCATGAGATACTATAGTTGCAATTTCAAACCTGCAATTTCCGTAGTGTTAACAAGGGAAAGAACTAAGTCGTCGAGGATTCGAACGGTCAAGTAAAAGGAGCTGGTTCTGGGGTACCCCAGTCCAGAGATGAGAACAGTACTCAGTAAGATGGCGAACTTGCGCATTGTAAAGTTACAAATAGTGTGCCGGAATGAAATACTGTCCTACTCTGCTGAGCACGCCAAGCTTTTTTAACCTTCTTTTCCAAGTAACCGCGGAACTGTACGTCTTTCAATATGTCGATGCCGAGGATTCTGATGCTAGCTGAGGCAGTATGGGGATTACCCTGAAATTAAGAGATACGGCAAAGGGATTCCTTTTAGTGGTAAACGCGCAAACCTGTATCTTCTGAAATTAAAACTGGAATCGTCCCGAATCCGAGATTTTGCTTTCAAAGACTCGACTTCAAACACAAGTTTGTTTCGATGTGACGTTTTCCGGGAAAATATTAGCACGGCTAGTGTAAAAAGCATCACTAGTGTTACAGCCAGTAACACCAACATATAATTCATATACAGAAGAAACGGCGTCGGTGATAGCTACGTGCTATCACCTTATGGAACACTAGCATAAATAGACTAGTAGTCGAAATATGCACCGTCTACTATGACCTTGATTGTGCGATCTGCAAGATAACTGATGATCCAATTGCAAAATTTATCGGGCAGCCCAGGAATAGAAAAGAAGCTTCTGAAAAACCGCTTTGTGCCAAAGCCCACGAAGTCCTTCGCTACCAAAGTAACGACCAAGGCCTCCCTCTTGGACTCTATTGCTTCCCCTCATCTATGAGTCAGGTAAGTTAGAAGACTAAAACTAGCTTATGAGCTGGCAGTTTATGATAGATCTCAAATATTTGCGGCACTGACTCTATTGCTTATTAAGAATATTATACCATATTTTATTCTGTACATAAGTGGTGCTTGCAAAGGCAAGCTCAGCGCCCTCTAAAACCATGCGCCCTAGGCTCCAGCCTAGTTAGCCTGTGGGTAAATCAGGCCCTGACTCTGACTACTATCACAACATAGCATAGTTAGTGCACTGTAAGATATACTACTTAGGCATAAATTCGTAACCGATATATTGCGTAAATCAAAATTCTTTCAAAATAAAAAATCTTATAAATATATCAGTTTCAATAATACTAATAAATAGGTCAATTTACAACATCGCCCAGAATTGAAAGCTTGACAGATTCTAATAGCAAGAAATCAAACATTTAACACATATCTATCGTTTTAGTATTGGTATTGGATCCAACATTCTATTTTTAAACTTGTTCAGAATTTAAAAATAATTCATAATTTGCCTACACTCGTTTACCAGCGTAGCGCAGAGTACCGAATGAGAATGCATTATTTATGTCTAAAACTAGCATGAATATTTGATATGCTTAAAACAGCTGTGATGATAATTTTAGTCACGGAACAAACAAAGCATTTTTATATAAATTAATAGGAACATCTAAGATAAAATTTCACATAAAAATGCTTGAGCATACATAAAATGATTCTTTTCGCATCACAGAAATCATTCCGTTTGTGTCGTTAAATACAGCAGAGGGAAATGAAACAGGAGATCGGCTGCAGCATCTTCCTGGTAACAACTCAGAATAATAAAAAAAATGTTGTTGCCATCCCGCCTGTCAAGAGTGGTAAGTGTGGCAAATATCCCCCTTGAAGGGCTTTGTTTAGCAGTGGACTTTAATGAGCTGTATTGAATAAACGAATAAGACACAAAATTTTAAAACTTAAATCATGTTTAGTTTGGGCAATGTCAATATATAGTTATAATATGTTGGATTTGGCGGTTTAAGTATGTCCACTACCCAATATCGTCCCGTGGGTGTCGTTAAAAACGGGAAACAAACCAGGGTTTTTTATGGAATTAGGGTGACAAACGAGCACACAGTCCACCTGATGGTAAGTTGTTGCTGTGGCCGATAGACATCTACATCTATCCTCGATTACGAATCAAAATGCAGACGCGTTGTCACCCGTGAGGACTAAGATGGAATGCCTCGTTTCCAGTAAAAAAAGTCTCCGGTTCTCTACACTCACCATACGAAACACAGCAGCGTTATGCAGCTATTTTACGCTGGTATTCTGTGAGAGCGTGGTCCTTCCCCGATCGAGCCGACCCATTCGTGCTACAACTACACCAGTAATATAGCTGCAGCATGGCTCTAGGTGATGGGCAGTCTTTCTAATAACAAGCAGAAAGTAAAATGAAACTGCAGGTTGCTAACCCGCCTGAAGATCGCGGCTACTGTGACAAACATTACCCCTATGAAACAATGTGTGGTTAGCAGTGGATTTCGATAGGCTGTAATGGATGAATGAAAACTTAAAGTAAAAGCAATACTAAAAAGACTTTCACTTCTAGTTTTTATTTTCATCACACACTTTAAATTCACATTCAGTGATATAATTTATAATTTATATGCTAAAACATTCCATAAGTTTCGGAGTTTTATCTGTTAAATAGTATAGTAGACCCACCATAGATACACCTGTACAGATGTGCGTGTCGGATGATCGCGGCGGTGTTAGTGCGGCATCGAAACGCAGGTCAAGTTGCAGCATGTAAACGGCAGCTGCAAGAGTGCTGACCGACACTGCAAGTTGAGCTACTGCAACTCCTATGCAAGTTGTACTATTGCATCTGTAAAAAAATATCTATGCAGATTTCTGCTTGGAAATATTATTTCCGTAATTTTTTGATTATGTGAGCGCAGAGCCAAAACAGTAGCACTGGTAATGTTACTACCGATTGACAAACTTATTAAAAATCATGTTAGATGATTGGGTTTCGGGCTTGTTATTTAATAAGGGTGACAAACGAGCACACAGTTCACCTGATGGTAAGTGGATGCTCTAACCATCTATATTTATCTACGATTAAGAATATAATCAAAATGCAGATGCGTTGTAAAAAGAGTATTCGGTTCTCTTACTGACAATACTATTCACACCACACGCAGCAGAATTAATCTGCTATTATTTACGCTGGTATTTTGAGTCGACCCATGTGTGCTACAAACATAATATAGCTACAGCGTGGCTCTACCACGTAGAAAATGGTGAGTTGAGCATTTGGTGAAAAAGGAATAATTTCCGTTGCACTTAAATGTTATATTTTTGTTAGAATTTAAATAATAATAATTTAATAATAATAATTTATTTCAAGAAACCGTACAATTAATTCAAATAATGTCTTAATTTAAAATAGTCTACAATAACGGGCACCTGAACTAGGATAAACCTGTATGATTGTATAAAACATAAATATTTTACTAGTCAGTAATTCTTGATTTAAGAAATTGTTCCTGACATACATAGTAGAATCGCGATATTAATTTACTATGCTAAGTTTGCATACGAAAATTAAATTTAAAGCTGTGTGTGCTGTACCTGACTGCGACTAATATCCAAAATTTAAGAGAACTCTTTATCCAGTATCAAATTTTTTAAGATATTATGTGAGTATTTTCTATGTCTATTTACGATTTTACTACATGTTTATGGAATGTAGTGATAATGATGATGATGATGATGTATGATGGGCGAGTACGAGTTCACGGACGTGGTGCCGGGCAGTGGGGAGGTGTCGGTGGAGGAGTCTATATTATCCCACTCCGCTTATAATTAACTGACTGAGAATTATTAAAATGCAAATAATATGATAGGGCGTTGAGATACTCTTATTATTACCTTTTTCTTGTTACTTTTAAACGACAGTAGCCTAATGACAGGGTGTGAACCGCGAACTCAAAGGTCGTGGGTTCGAATCCGGCATCGGACTAGAGGGGAGTAAAGGGGATATAAGTAATTTTAAGAGCATTACTAGTATTTTCTTTTAATAATAACGTTACCCCCACACTAGGATTTTCTCCTGTATCGTGGAAGCAGTTTACAAACATAAATTGCCATACAAATACTTGTTCCGTGCGGGATTCGAACCCAACGCCCCCAGCGTAGCAACTCATTGCTAAGCCACTGCGCCACGGAGCCGTCAAAATAATAAAATAACCTATAACCTATTTTATACATTCAAAATTGGTAAAGTTCAAAAATTTTATTCTCGTTGAATTCTTTAATGCCGTAAAAATCAAACTACACCAACTACCATACATTTAACATTATTTCAATTAAACGCTTCGATACAAGTACGTAAATATTTGGAAATCATTTCTCCATAACTGGCTTTTAGTGAGACGGCAAAACTTCTAGATACAGTTAACCCATATACAACGCTGGTTTATATTATTGCAGCTGGCACTTTTGTTTCCAATGTTATTGGATAACTTGCAATATTAAGATATTAATAAAATGTCTGTCTGTAACACTACACAGCGTATTATACTCTCAAAGTTGAACATGTTTGGAATCTAAATAATACACAATTGAATTTAATTAATTTGCAGTTATCTATCGCAGAGCTTATTTCTTCTAACTGTGCTTCGTTTAAGGGCGAAAAAGTGTCGTATTAACGGACTGCATATTTCCTGTATTTCTTAGAGTAGTTTTGTTGGATTTAGTGGTTAGGTTGAGTGGTGTGGGAAAGATCATATGACTGTTAAAGGGAGGGCGGTGGTCATTAAGCTTGATAGTACACACCGTTTCATTTTTTCATAAAAATATAAGCATAATAATTTTCTCATTCTCAAAATCATTTATTTATAATATAATCTATCAATACACATTTTTTTATTAAGTAAGTGTGACAAACGAACATACCTAGTAGTAAGTGAATGATGTGGTCCGGGTCGTCTATTCAATGCACAGGAATTTTATCAATATCCAGATTTGATATCAGCTTTTTACTCATTAATAATAAAAAGGTTATCGGGTTCTTTATACCCACCATTCGAAACACAGCAGCTTTACGCTGCTACTTTTTGTATACTGTGAGACCCCGGTGGAGCCGATCTATTCGTTCCGCAGCCATAAAACAACTGCAGCGTATATCACGTAAAATAATATGTACTGTAATATCTATCCTACTTATATTTTTCTCCACTTCATCTACATTCAACACATGCTTAGTAATCAATATCCGTTAAGGCCTGTTTTCACTTTGATTAGTGCGAGTGCAGGTGATTAGTAGTAATTGTGGTTGATTACTGCAGGTGTGTAGTGTAAGTAGTGTCCAATTCTGTTTAGTGGATGTGTTTAGTAAATTCAGTTGTTAGCAGTCGACCAGGAAGTATGGACATTTTTTTAACAGAAGCGAGCGTCCGACGCTAAACGCTAAACACTAAGCACTGATGTCCAAACGTGTTTAGTGGCAGGCATGCTGCGAGTGAGGGGAAAGGAAGGGCGCGCGGAGCGTGACACTCGCAGTCCACTGATCCACTCGCAAAAAAAGAGAACACGCTTCTAATCACTTTACTACACAGGTTTTTAATCACTTGCACTAATCAATCGCTGTCCACACGTGTTTACTTCTAAACACTAAGCACCTGCACTAATCACCTGCACTAATCACCTGCACTAATCACTAATCAAAGTGAAAACAGTCCTTTAAAAATCGTAAACCCAAATTCTATAGCTGCCGATGAAGTGCAATATTACAAGTGCGGCAACGGCTTTTTACTCACCAACCACTTTACCCACCATGGCTTTCAAATGGCCATTTTCCTACATCGAATTTGAAAAGAATATTGATGATCTTGCAACTCGATCATGATTAGTTCATAAATCGTTGGAACTTACCCTATATTCATCAGAGATCGTATACAAAATGCTAGCATCGCTATGTGTGCTCCAACTGCGACAGTCCATAAAGTGGTTAAAGGAACTGCAGCACATGGTGCTGGGCCCAAAGCTCTCCAGGGGGTTCCCCAACTTCTGGTTGTTCCTGATCGCGCCGAGTTCCATCCACCAAATCCTCGGCTGAAGTAAACTGATGTAGCTAAGGGGAACAAAATATAGTTACTATTTACATATAATTTTTTAACAATTAGATGATGTTACTATTCAGTGTGACGTACATTATTTGCTATATATAACTTTTTCTTAAATTGGTAGAATTTTATTTATTCCCATCTTTATTTGTTGGAATTTCTCAGCCAAAGGACAGACTCAAAATCACCTTAGTGAAGTGTTCTATCATTAATACGAATAATTTAAAGTATCCCATCATAAAACGATGTTCTATCAATTAAAAATATAAACATTATTTCATATTGTAGTTTAAACAGAGATATTTTATGATGAATTAAAAATATTTTTAAAATACACGAAGTAATTTGGTGAACTTTTCCTAAAAAAACCCATTCAGAAATGAGATTGGCCCACGTCCAGCAAAAGTATGTAGGCAATACTTTGTCCATAGATTAATGATAAGTCATCGCGCGCTCTGACTAGATACCGCCGGCGCTCATGTAAAATGCGGCAACAAATACTACGCCGAAATCGGCGTACATGAGCCAGTCGCGTTGTAGGCAACGTGTGAGGTGAACGTACCGAATGTTTTATTAAATTTTGATCATAATCCGAAGTAAAATACCAGTTTACGTATTGAAACTGTGTAAAAATAATATTACAAGAAATAAGAAAGACACTGGAATCACATACTATCATTAAGTATCATACAATTTCGAAATTTTAACATAAAATAACACGAGCCATAAATAAGTCACAAAATATCAATGACGTTATTCAGTGTTGCCGCGAATGCAAAAATAAAGTTCCTTGTGGCTGATATTTTTATATGTAAATTTATTGTTACTATATTTTATAATATAATATATTTAACTTATTATAATATAACCTCATACTATATTATTTAATGTTTATTTCTGTAGTATTGCTCAAATGACATAATTGCCGTTTATTAGGGTTCCGTACCCAAAGAGTATTAACGGGACCCAAGTTTCCACTATCGTTCCGTCTGTCTGTCAGTAGGCTGTATCTTATGATCCGTAATATGTAGAATTTTCACAGAATGTGTATTTATATTGCTGCTATAACAACATAAAATAAAAAAGAAAACAAGTAAAATATTAAAGGACCCAAAATATCACGTTTCTTGTATGTAGAACATACAAGACACGTGATTTTTTTATGTATTGATATGTGTTTTGTTTACAGATTAAAGCGAAACCGGGATTAATGCGCAATAAAGTGATGCTGTGTGTATGGTGGTACTGAGCTTTTACCGCCGGGTAAAACCATCGATTCGGCTCTCTACTACCAATAAACAATGAGACAAGCACGAAATAAAAAAAAAAACGGCTGGCATTGATAATCAGAAAAGGAGTGGTCTTTCATCATGATAACGCCAGATCACAAGATTAGTTATCTATTTGAGACTTTCAATTCACACTAACATTCCTAAAAATCCAGCATTTGCTTGAGTACTTAAAACTGGTTTAAAAGTTTTAGTCCATTATTTTCTTTTGTTGCTTGTGTTCTTTAAAAGAAAGCTTTCTGTAGGTTTTAATATTTAAGTTTATAATTTCTTTTCCATTATAAAGGGGATGACTATTTATATTATATTTTCCCCGGTCTTATATACTAACTAAAGGTGTAACAAAATAGTACTTAATAACTTAGGGAATGATTCTGCCCGTCAACATGAATATTTTTTACTATGGGATCATCTTCGAAATATTCAATTTATACGTGATAGACCCATACTGCTATATTACTGATATAGTTGTAGCACGAATACCCATTCGTCAGCTTGACCGGGGAAGGACCACGCTCTCACAGAATACCAGTGTAAAATAGGAGCTTTACGCTGCTATGTTTCGTATGGTGAGTGTAGAGAACCGGAGACCCTTTTTAATGGAAACGAGGCATTTCATCTTAGTCCTCAGGGGTTGCAACGCATCTGCATTTTGATTCTTAACCGAGGATAGATGTATATGTCTATGGGCCACAGCAACCACTTACCATCAGGTGGACTGAGTGCTCCCTTGTCACCTTGATCCTATAAAAAATATCTCAAAGTCAGTTATTACATACAAAATTTCGTACAAACTTGCTCAAAATGTATGGAAGACCTGATTTTTCTTGCGATTTGGAAGATAGATCTATAGTAAAAGGTTTTCATATTGACGCGTAAAATAGAAAGGACTATTTTGATTACACCATATCTATAACTATTTTTTAAATAATTTGTGAATATTAGTTAGACATGTAAATAAAAAAATTAAACTGATAAAAAGGAGGCCTTGTCATTTATATGTCATTTATTCAGAAGAAAAACCTATACATAATATACACAAATATATTGATACACTCGTTATTAATAAACTATTCATTTTTAAGTATTTCTGGAATACATTCATAACTATGAACTTAACTACTAAGCCATAGCATAAAATAAATTTTCCTGTTAATCGGGTAATAGTTAAGCTGCTAGCATATACAATTTTTCACGCACACTAGCATCATGCAAATTGTCTTATACATACTACAATATTAAGATGCCGCATTCATGAAGCTGTTGCTTGTAGGGAGCGCGGTATCTAGTCAGAGCGCGCGATGACTTGTCTTAACGTGTATATAAACTTCAAATAATATAAACAGCTACCTAATTCCGGAGAAGATTATTTCCTGTTCGTTTTATCGATTGTTTTCATCTTATTACCAGAAACTTGAATTGTCAATATGTCTGCCGACCGTCGCGATTAGTCCATATTAAGAAGAGACGATTCATGTGCTGGTGATGATGACAATCGCGTCATTGTCATAAATATACAAAATTAAGCATCCCATAATCTTCATATTATATTAGACCCTAAAATATTATCACTCAATAAATAATAGACTGCTACTGCTAAGCTTGTTGTAAAAGTAGTAAAAGTGCTTTCTTAAAAGCTTTTCGTTGTAGTTTTTGATTTACCTTCACATCTTCTCATTTAAACTAATTCGCTATAAATAGAAATTGTAAAAGTATAGTTGTAATAAAATCATTGCATTTATAATGTTCATGTGTAGGTATATAAATTATAGATATTTCTGTGGTATTTTAAGTCGATTGATCTTTTTGTAATAAAGGTGACAAACGAGTACACAGTTCATCTACATCTATCCCCGATTAAGAATCAAAATACAGATGCGTTGTCAAGGAGACTAATATGGAATGCTTCATTTTCAATAATAAAAGGTCTCCGGTTTTCTACGCTGATATTGTGCGTGATCGTGGTTTATCAAAAGCATACTTACACTTACAATAAACAAAAGCATATTCACTACTTAGTAATCGGATGGATAGACTATGATACTCAACGTGGTAGCCTTGCTGCAGCTATATTATGGTTGTAGCACGAATGGGTCGGCTCTACTGACGTAGGACTACGCTCGCACAGAATACCAGCGTAAAATAGCAGCTTAATGCTGCTGTGTTTCGTTTGTTGAGTGTAGAGAACCAGATGGAATGACGCTTTTTTCTGGAAACGGGGCAGTCTTCAGGGATGACAACGGGTCTGCATTTTGATTCTCAATCGAGGATAAATGTAGATGTCTATGAGCCACAGCATTCACTTATTATCAGGTGGACTGTGTGCTCGTTTGTCACCCTTATTCTGTAAAATATAATACTATATACAGACTAGATAAAATAATTTGCCAGCATATGCAAATAAAAAAAAAACACAAATGAGAAATAAAACAACTAATTCTTACTTGCGGCAATGACTGTTATTGCTCCCGCTGGTACGCCTAATCCAAGTGCTGGCTTTTGTTTTTCTTCCAGCCAACCAACTGCGCCCACTACTAGACCACCAATTCCACAGACAATCTAAAAGCAATGTTTAGAACTTTAAAATGTTAATACTAAACATAAGTCCACACATTGTCAGGCGATTTGGCAACACCTGATTTTTTTTATTACTTTGTGTTGGGGTAGTGGCTTCTCTTACACCAGCACTATATTACACGGTGGTCTAGTTATTAAAATTATAATAAGGCCTAAAGTAATAAAACTTCAAACCAAGTCAATTACCAAATTACACGGCTTTCAAATAATGTGTTCAAGGACAAGACAAGATAATATAAGGGTTGTCAGAACCAGACCTTTTCACTCTGTCAGCGTTCTAGGTATTTAACTTACATTTCAGAAGCTGTAAGGTTTTTATATTTTATCTCATAGTCACTTGTTACGTATCGTAGGTGTCCCGAGGGACGAAATGGGGATAATGATTCTTAAACGCCGCCACCATTAGCCAGGCACATCACATCACTTGAATTGAAGAACCTCTAACTTGACTTTAGTCCACTGCTTAGCAAGACCAAGACAAGAATACGATACTGAGCATCATTGAGAAGATGAGGTGAGAAATAAGGTTGGTGAGCACAGAGTTCATACACTTTTATTGGCAATGCCGCTCCACAGCCATTTGTCCAATCGCAGCTTGCCAATGTCTCATTTCCGCAATTAGCATGATGCAACGATCGAAGGTTTTTTTAAAGAATAAGAGTGACATACGAGCACACAGATGACCTGATGGTAAGTGGTTGCTGTGGTCCATAGACATCTACATCTATCTTCGTTTGCGAATTAAAATGCAGATGCGTTGTCAGCCGTGGGACTACGATAGATTGCCGGAGGTTAAGCTGATATTTTACGCTGGCATTCTGTGAGAGCGTGGTCCTTCCCCAGTCCTGACCCATTCGTGCTACAACTGTACTATTGACATAGCTGCAGCATGGCTCTACCACGTAACAAATGGTGATAGGAATCCTTTCTTTGTCTAGGAGTCTTTTTGGGTACTAATCACCCTCTTAACTATTTTTGTCGCCAAACAGCAGTCGTGCATTGTTTTTTTTCCACTGTGAAGGTTATAGAGGGCCAGTATAATTACAGATTATGAGCCATTCCATCATAGTTCTCAGGAGTGACAGCGCACATGTAGTCTTTGTTTGTAGGTGTCAATTGACTGCAGCAGCCATTTATCATCAGTTGAACTGTAAATTTATCTATCACTGGAATTATATAAGAAAGGTTAGGCACACACATACAGGAAACGGCATGAACCATAGTGCAAGAAACAGTTGTTTGCAAATGATGAGCAAAATTTTGCATTAATTCTTTGAAAATCAATAAAGAAAATTTTAAATTTTAATAATATAAAAAACCGATTTAAGAGTTTTGTGTAAACATTAGTGATAAGCTTATGATTGATTTTGGATATAAATGAGATAAGGTAAACGATAACATATGTATTAAATAACGGTTGTGTTTATTCTGATAAACGCCATATCCAAACGTTGGCGTCGATTCAAATGTTTCTAAAATACCAGTTTTACTGCCCGCGCATTTTAAATATTTATACTCTTCAAAAACTGTACACATTTTTGCAACTAAACTCACAATAGGGCTTTCCAAATATTTTGCGCAAATGTTTTGATAGTGTTATAAAATATTCTCGGAGATTTGAATTTAAAATATTATATTTAGATTCAAATAGTATACGTTATATTGCTTATCTAGAATGTATATTCATGCAGTATATAGACGACCAAGCAATTTATTGGTTAGAGGATATCCGATACTTAGGCTGAGATGCATAAATTATTGCTTTTTGGTCTAATGTCAGAGATACTACATTCAAACCTATCTCCCTCTGATCTAATTTCATAAACGTTCTATCACCAACGAACACGCGATTTGACTGTCTCGTTGGTCTAGTGTATATAAACGAGACTCCTGATTATGTGGTCCTGGGTTCGAATCCTGAGCCTGGCCAAGAGTTAGTTGTTGGGTTTTTCTGTCAAGAGTGCTTCACCCAAAATAGACAAATATTGGTATAAATAATTAGAATAGTTTTATCCATTATTTTATATGACATTAACGCCTTAATATTTGTTCCTGCAACAATTCTAAGACAGACTTACTACAACAATCCTAAACAATTTTTTACTTTCACTTCTTTACCATTACAGTTCAATACAAGTCGACTACTAGTCATAGTGCGTAGTTCTCCCCCAAGGAATGTCACAAAGCACCTGAGCCACCTGCATCCATCAATATCTTACTCTTCTCATCACCAGGTGATCACTTCGTCTAGTTGGAGGTCGTGCTATACTTCGATTAACGGTACGAGACTGCCACTCGAAAATCCATCGGATGTCACTTCTTCGAACTATATGGCCGGCCCATTGCTACTTCAGCTTACTGTTCTGTTGTGGTATATCGGTTGCTATATCCTTACTGCGGATATTTTTAATTCAAAGTACTCCGCGCATAGCCTTCTCGAGCGACCTTGACCCTCGTCGTGCGGCCATCAGTTAAGGACCAAGTATCAGACCCAAAAGACACCACTGACAAAATCCACACTCTTGTTCAATTTCTGAGGTATACGTGACGAGAAGATGTGTCGTAATCTCGCGATCTGTAACTGACCCAGCTGAGATAGATCCGTCAATTGAATTTTCATTCGAAGTTGGCAAGTTGGTTTTTTTGGACAATTTGTCCTAGGTAAAGTTACAGACATCGGTTTGGTATGGACGCTACAGATGACCTTTGACATGTTCATCTTCATCTTAAGACCTAATAGTTGAGAGGCACTAATGAGGTCTCAATGACCTAGCATTGTGCTCAGGTTTTACAATTATTTGCCATAAAATGAACTTGCCATTGATGTTAAAAACTTTATATATCTCTATCCTTTCCAGACCACTAGATGAAAATATCTTTCAATACAGCAGTAAAGAATATGAGGGATATAAAGATATGTTTACATATGTATGTAGTAGTGTAACACACAGCTGTAGGTATTTAAACTTCATTGGTTGACCTGATAGGATATTATCGAATGCCGCAACCCTAAACATGATATAGTTTATTGAACATTGCAAATCTGTGCAACGTCTGTCATCAACTTTTTTATTGGCGAAATTATTTAGATCGTGAACGATAACTTCTGTTCTTTAATTTTCATTCTGTCTCTATTTTTGTAACACACATGAATGCTGTTGATAAATATAGACCTTGATTATTCCATTATGTTATTTCGCGCGATCGTAAATTCTTAAAATTTACAATGATTTAAATTTAAAACAGTATCACGATTCGCATGTATGAGTTGATTGTCTGACTTTTTTATAATGACGTCGATTATATAGCTTTTCCCACCGCACTCGTCATACACTGGTGTTAGAAAACAAATATAATAATGATTTGTTATATTTACGCGAATACTGCATATGGAATTAAACTAATTTTACAAATTCTATCGAGTTTAAATTTAACTTCTTTAATTCTCGACGGGTGTGTCATAATAAACGAAGACTATCTTCAACTATCAATTATTAATTTTTTGGTCCTATCTACGCAGAATGAGCTTTTAGTATGTTAAAGACTTGCAGTAGTATGCTTGGGTTTGGATTTAGTTTTATTAATTATGACATCCCAAGCAGATGGTAGCACTGGTGATGGTGACGTGCTGGATCTCGCCGGCCAGATGTTTTTTTATAGAATAGGGTGACAAAAGAGCACACAGTTTACCTGATATTAGTGGTTGCTGTGACCTATATACATCTACATCTATCCTCATTAAAGAATCAAAATGCAGATTATTTGATACCCTTTGCTGATGGAATGCCTCTTTTCCAGCAAAAGATGTCTCCGATTCTCTACCCTCACCGTACGAAACACAGCAGTGTTAAGCTGCTATTTTACGCTTGTATTCTGTGAGAGCGTGGTCCTTCCTCGGTCGAGCCGACCCATCGTGCTTTAAGTATACTACTAATATAGCTGCCTCATGGCTCTACCACGTATAAAAACAGGTATAAAAATTGCCACGTATAAAAAAGGTACTTACTGTCACAGAGCCCTTGTGCTCTCTGAAACATCTTTGTGTCCCTGCTATAACATACGTGAAGCATCGATACTCCGGGAAGTCTGCGGTATGTTAATTGTTTAGGATCGTCCCAACCAGATTTGATAGCTTGATAGATCACAAATCCTCGCAAAATAACACCGATTGCTACCAATGATGTCCGCGAGGCTATTGAAATAAAAAAAAATCCTAATTTCAATAGAGAATATGGTCGATTGCTACCATCTGCTTCAAATACCATAATTAATAAAATTAAGTACAAGATACTATAAGTCCGTTCTCCGTAGATCAGCCCAAAAAATTAATAATTAAAAGTTGAACGTAGCCTTCGTTAACTATGACGTCAGGACGTCAAACAGCTTAGTCTCTCCTGTGACCATGGGTGTTGTAAAGTGCCCGAAACTTCAGGAATTAAATAAGTTTAAATTAAACGCGGTAAAATCCGTTAAAATTAGATTTTTTTTGCAACGATATATAATTGTCTTAGAGATGAGACCTATCTAGATACACTTGGAATGTAAACATTTTCTTAATGCAAAAGTTCATTCAAATCTTTAGAACCATTTTCGAGAAATCAGTTACATATTATATACAAGAATTACACGTTAGAATTATAGAATTGAACATTCATTTCATTTATTTTTACCTGCAAAACTCTAACCCTTAAGGCCACTGCAAATGGATACATCTGAACTCCGGTCGATAGAGGTTCATCACCTTTAGAGGCTCCGCTTACTGCACTGCACACCGACTGCTTTCGCGACCACATTGCGGCATTCGAGAGAAAAACTACAACAAAATAAAATATATCAATATATAAATAAAATAATTCTAAATGAAAAATTAAACTTTACCATAAAAAGTCAAAGTCTACTTTGAAGTACTAAAAAGAATATAATTATTTCAAATTTTGAAGTTTAAACAATTAAAGATAAGATTTAAGAATGTGAAATGATTTTATTCTTTAGATTTCAAACAATTTAACATTAAATTTTTATTAGACGTATAACTTGAGGCTCTTTTGCGTGATTTATGAAATATCACACTATCAAGGTAAATGTCTAAACAATAACATTAAAAACTATCGCGGTGATGAAATAATCGTGAAGAGCCTATACATATTATGTCTTATGAACAGATCGATTAAAATTATATGTATGCATATATAACTAGGTACGTAGTATAGTAATACTACGAGTATAGTGAAGTGCCGAATAATTATTTTACAATAGTGGACTAGTAACATGTTAGCGTTGTTAAGTTTGCTACTTGTCCATCGTTGTGAAATAAATATGCGGCACTTCACGATAATATAATAATGTAAATCACTTATAACCTGTGTTAAATAATTACCTTTATTTATATGTTTTTTTTTAAGTTATATGTTCATATGTTTTTCATATATTTTTTTTGTACTCCTATTTAAACTATTGTTTGCATCAGTTCTCTTCGCAAAGGTTGTCTGGAAGAGATCACTTTCAGAGTTATTAGACCGCCTGTTGTACATATTATACTTTAGATTTAACTCTACTCGTTATTCTGTATTTTGATGTACAATAAAGAATAAAAATAAAATTTTCCATAGTTCTAACAAGATAGTTTTGATTCACTGACGCAATAAAAATTTCATTATTGGATGACAAATAATATTTTTATTGGGTCAGTTAGGGATGGAATTTTTTCTCCAAATTCTTATGGCACCAGCACTGATGCATAAACTATTTAATAAGAATCGAATTGAAGATAACGCCTAACATCCACTCAAGAAACCAAGAGTCGAATTGAGAAGCTCCTCCTATTTTGAAGTAGTATAAAAAAGACACGTATTTGTCTATATAAAGATGAAATCTATTTAAGAATTCGTAATCATACCTAGAAACAAACAAAATTAGTAACACCGAGACAGTGTTTTTGTTTGGGAAGGGTATTTGTTTCTCGTCTCGATAACAAAGATACTGAAAACTGAATTAGATATGAAAGCCATGGTAGCTCAGAGGCTACGCGCTAACCATAAATTTCATAGTACGCAAGCAGCCTGGGATCGATCCTCGCTGCCACCAATAAAATTGTACAACGCATTAAGTAGCAATATGCAAGCTATGCTTATGTTTATAAGGTTCATGCACTTTCAAGTACTTATATACCTCTAGCTCGGTGTTTAGAGTAATCATCGTGCGGAAACCTGCATGTTTGAGTAAAATATTTTAAAGACATGTCGAATCTGGCAACAGATATTGCATCACTCTAAAACCATCTCTGTAATGAGAGCCATAATGAGGCCATACCCAGCAGTCGAACGTATTTAGACTGTCAAAAGACTATATTATATAATATAAACTATACGTATATATTATAAGCTTTTATATTATATAAATTGTGTAATGTAATAGGTCAATGAGCAACTCCTTTTTAGGCCATTTAAATAAAAGCATGTTTTTCAAAGTGATTTTTTTACACTTAGAATTTTTTAAACTTAGAGGAATCAAAACATTGATAGACTGTCTCAAGCCGCTACGCCAAATCGAAACTCGAAGTGAAAAAGGCGTTATTCCATTTAAGTTTTATCACTGCTTGGAACGTTACACCTCTATAGAGAAAATTGGATCTGATACTCAATTATTAAGAAAGTTTCATGCAAATGATATTAGATTAATCCTGATTGGAAAAACTTTGAGCTTTAACGTGCTTTGGAAAAATACTACACTTTTTGGGAAAACACTAATAAGAATATAAAAATCAAAACGAACGAATCCCTTAAAAAAGTTAATGTTACCTTTAAACTTACAACCGTCAAATAATTTAAAATAATATTGAATGTATCTTGAAATAAGACACACAAAAACCCCGATATTGTTGACATCATAACTTTTTTATAGTCGCTTATTGCAATTGTTAATTATTTTGCTTATCTCCTCGATCAACGCATTAGTTATAATTAGTTTTTTTTTTTTATAATTAGTTTGTGATCTTTTGTTTTGCCGACGTCGAAGAGACAGAACAGATATTATTTTAAGACATATAAAACAGATTAATCACTTGTGGAGTGCATGTAACACCTATGAGGAGAGCGCAGGCAACTTCTTACTGAATTGTGTATTCGCAAAACGTACCTATAATATAATCACTACGTTTTAGGTAGGTATTTGACATACTAGTCTAGTAAATAAAAATACTTTTAAGAGTTGTCAAAACTAATATTTATTTAGACGTTATATAATTTTTTTTTAAATAAAGCATTGTTTGCGTTTAATTGCATTAATTTCCATAAATATCGCCGTATTTTAAATACGATATTTTTCAACGAAAAGGTATTATATTTAAAATCTTCAACAATTTAGAATAAAAAAATTACGATTTCTTAAATTTACCTGAACACTACACATCGAATAAAACTATTTTTTACGGGTTTTATCGCGTTTAATTTACTATTTTAATTCCCGACGTCACGGGTGCTTCACAGCAACCCATGGTCACGGGGGGGGGGGGGGGGGGGACTGAGATGTTTGACGTCCCGATGTCACAGTTAGCCCGGCTAGCTTCAGTTTTTTAATATTAATTTTTGGTTCAATTTGCGCAGAATGAACTTACAGTATCTTGAAGTCTTGCAGTGGTATGCTTGTGTTTGGATTTAATTTTGTTAATTATAGGATCCCAAGCAGATGGCAGCACCCATCCATCGCCTCTATTGAAATTAGGATGTTTTTTAATTTCAATACCCTCGCGTATCATCTTTGGTATGAATCGATGTTCTTTTGGGAGGATTTGTGGTCTATCAAATCTGATGTAATGGCGGGGGCGGTTTTGAACATGTTCACAAACTGCAGACTTCCCAGAGCGTCGGTGCTTCACGTCTGCTATATGTTCTTTCACGCGGGTTTTAATGGATCTTTTTGTTTGTCCTATGTAAGAGAGACAGAGACATTTTTTTTAGAAAAGAAATTAGCATTGTTGTTAACACTGTTCGGAGTGGCTTACGAAAGAATTCGAATGGCGGATTCGAACCTACGACTTTTGACTTTCGCAGTCCGTATCCTTAACCACTGGTTTGCTGTCTAAATGTTATTTATTAATTCATTAAAGCCTATATAAAGTCCACTGCTGAACCTAGGCCTCCCCCGTAGATTTCTTGATAGAGAAGATTCCGTAGATTTCTTCATAGAGAATATTTGCCATAATTGCCGCACTTGACAATTCATAGGATTGGTAACCGCAGTTTTTAGTATTTTGGGTTGTTATCAAGAAGATGCTGCTGCCCATCACCTGTTTAATTTCCCTGTGTCGTTTCTTAAGACACCAACGGGATGACATGGAGTAGCGGGTTGTCTTACTCCCAAACTACACGGCGATATATCTATAATATGTTGTATGTTACTATTATGTTAAGTGTATTTATTACTTACCATTATTACTTCTTAAACAAGAAATTATCAGTCTCGACTATTATAGTCATACCGTTTCAACAATCATAATTTCACTAATCAGAATTTATATTGTTTTTTTTTATAAAATAAAGAAATTTAGTACAAACAATTATGCGGGTGGCGGAATGTAATAAAATAGATAAACTTTAAGGTCAATAAACCAAAGCGAACAAGTACTGGGTTTTTCCTAAACAAACATAAAACTAACGCTATAAACCCAAGAACTGTAGTGAGTTTGAAATAGTATCTCTTATACCACATATAATATATTTCTCTGATCATCGTCGACCTTAGAATAAATCTTTTCTTTTTTTAGTTTTATCGATGTGATATCGGTAGCCAGTATTTTAGCTTTAAAGTTTAATATTTTTTTAATAAATAACAATGACAAACGAGCACACAATATACCTGGTGTTAAGTTAATACTGTGTCCTTAGGTACCTGCATATGATTAAGAATCAATATGTAGACGCTTTGTCACTCTTGTGGACTTAGATAGAATATCTCGTTATTAGTAAAAAATCTTTGATTCTCAAAACTGACCATACGAAATACAGCAGCATTAAGCTGCTATTTTACGCAGGTACTCTGTGAGAATGTGGTTCTTCTCCCGTCAAGCTGACCCATATGTAGATACTGCAAACATCTTATAGTTGCAGTGTGCCTTTACCACGTTTAAAGCTCCCGTTCATTTATTAAATTCACCTTAATGTTAATTAAACGATGATTGTTAGCATATTTTCTTGGAATGAAAGATTTAGGCAGTAATAAAAAAAAATTAAAAATAATCTCAAAACCTACGTTAAATCTGTGTTGAGTTAAAAAAATAAATACATGAAACGGTTATTATCAGGGCCGCTTTCCTATTTTAACGTCTCGACTGCCTGATTAGTAGTGTCCTCATGCCGATTTCTTTTCTTCTTCTTCTTCAGCTCGCAAAAGTCCCCGTGTACAAGTGGTTATGAACCTCTGGTATTGTTGGTATGTAGGGTGGATTTGCCTAAATCGATCTACTTGACAGGTGGTTTGACCTCAGGTCTCGCACCGTCTTAACAAAATAATATCTTCTATTTCTACTTCATATCTTCAGCACATAAATTGGTACCATTTGTTCTCTATTTATTATTAATCCATTTATTTCCATTGTTTATTTATTTCATTTCTTTACATGGTGGTCAAAATCGTAATACATTACTTATTAACTATAGGTAATATGTCGCTTAGTCCAGCTTGATATAACACCACGAGAGGTGGTATTCGTAACTTTAGGTAAAAGAGATGGGGTGTTAGGAATTACAGAAGTTATATGGGTTATTTTAATTTTTAGCAACACGATAATCCTTAACAA